ATTTTACGGATTTTATACCGGCCTCCCACAGGCCTCCAAAATGAGGACTATGGGCAGGAATAAAGTGCCATGTGGTGCCTTCAACAGCAAACGTTTTATTGATGTGATCGCCGTTACTCTTTAAAAATAAGCTCAATTCTTTCAGTAGCGAATTGGCTCCAACAAAATTGGTTCCGTTGTCGGAATACACGTGAGACGGTTTTCCTCGGCGGGAAGCAAACCGCCTGAATGTCATTATGAAGGACTCCGATGTTAGATTAGTCACCAGTTCCAAATGAACTGCTTTGGTCACAAAGCAGATGAAAAGGCATAAATAGCTCTTAGAGGTTTTGGCACCTCGGCCCTTGTGGTTTTTAATGAGGAAAGGACCTCCATAATCTACGCCAACGGTGGAGAATGGAGGTGCAGCTTGTACACGAGAAGGAGGTAAATCGGCCATGATGGGTTTTACCAGTTTGGGAGAGAATCTGAAACACTTCATGCATTTGTGTACCGTCTGCTTAGTTAGACTTCTTCCAGAGATAATCCAAAATTGGTTCCTAAGGGAATACAGAAGAAGCTGTGGGCCAGCGTGTAACAATCTCAAGTGCTCTCGGAGAGTGAGTAGTTTGGCCAATCGATGTTTTCCCGAGAGTACAATAGGGTGAATCTTATCAAATTGATAATTTGATTTGCGAAGTCTGCCACCAACGCGCAGGATACCTTCTGAATCCAAAAATGGATTCAGACTTATTATAGAGGAGGACCGCTTCAGGGGGCGATTTCGTCGTAGCTGATTCAGATCTTCACCAAAGGATTCGATCTGAGATATTTTTATCAGGCATAAAAGAGCGGCTCGAATTTCGAGTACTGTTAGAGGGCCAGTGATGCGATTTTTCATGACCACGCGACAATTATTAATAAATCGCAACAGAAATGCAACAACTCTTTCCAATCGAGATATATCGGAAAATTTGTCGATTAGATTAAATGATGTTGTAGTAATAAGCGAGTGAGTTTGAAGCTTGAACTCAGGTAGGTGTGGGAGTGAATCAGGTGGTTTTGGCCATGATGATTCACAGCTTGCGAGCCAGTCGGGCCCATTCCACCATAATTGAGTGGACTTTAAAGATTTTGGCGTGACTCCCCTGGATAGCAAGTCAGCAGGATTGCATTTGGTGGGAACGTGTCTCCAGATTGC